TTACTCTCTAGAGGAATTATCACGATTGATTATGTAAAGTCAAGTGATAATGTGTCAGATCCACTTACAAAAGGCCTAACTAGAGAGGTAGTTGATAAATCATCAAGGGGAATGGGCCTTTGGCCGAGAACAAGTCATAGTGACGGTAACTCTACTTAAAAGACTGGAGATCCCAAGATCTAGGTTCAAGGAGATCAAACAAAGTCATTAATGATGTTTCAACATTGTTAACTAAACTTTTGGTCCATTCTCGTGATGAGACAATGTTTAGTACCAGGGATAAAGCATTAAGGCTTTTTAATGATTTCTAAATTTGATACGGGGTATATCAAATAATGTATTTACGGGATGACACGTTTAGGAATCACCTATGTAAGTGTGAAGCGTTAGCCGCTTCAAGGAGAATCTTGCAAGGCTAGTTCTCTATGCACTTATGAAACCAGGCGGTGTTCATGGCTGAAACGAACACAACAATGAGAACCAAAGACGGTTAAGGGTTGGTTGTGTGACTTGTGGTTGTCTAGGTATACACCAAAATTCAACAGTTCAAAGATATCAAATCTACCGATTGATCGAGTATATCCGACATAAGTTCACTACGAAAAGTTCAAAGGGAAACCTACTTATCCAGATGCAATTAATCCTTGCTTGCGAATCACACAGTTTTTCATGCATGTTTCCGTGATATAGTCATTCCCCATTCATGTGGGGGATTGTTGGGTTTTTATGTATTTAAGTATATTAAATACTTAAAAAAGGGTGAATGGGAAATGGAGAGAAATGAAATTTTAAGTTTCCCTCCTTGGCAAAGGGACATTGTCCCATATTAGAAGAGGAAGAGGTTTTTTATGGGTATATAAGCAATTGCTCTTCTTCTAGCTCTTAAAGAGTTGAGAAGAAGGCAAACCTCGCGCCGTCGTCGTCGTCGCTCGCTTGCTCGGCTTCGGCTTCGGCTTCGGCTTCGGCTTCGGATTCAGATTCGGATTTGGTCAAATGATCGATCGATTGATTCATTTTTTGGACCAAATTTATTTGTTAATAGTAAAATATTAACAGATATGTTATTAAATATTTGTTTTAATAACAGAATATTAATATTAAATCCAATCCGTTTTTCTGTTTTGGTAACAGAAAATTAACTACCCTCTTCAATTTTTCCTCTTTATTTTCCCTCTTTATTGTTGAGTAAATAGCCATTTATGTTATGGCATTTATGCTGTGGCCGTTTTGCATAAACAGCCATTCTGAAGAGTTGCACCTCTTCAGATTTCAGCCCAACTTTGGCTATAAATACAAGACTATTCTGCTCAGAATTTCGATACGATTTTCTGAGTTTTTCCTCCTTCTTCCGCATACTTTTAACATCAAACAAAGCAACAGTAAGTGTGATTTGCTACCGAACTTTGTGTTCGCTGAAACTTTGGGGTTTGAAGTACCACTACACAAGTGTGTAATTCGTTCTATCCTGGGAGGAAATAATCCATAACCTTGGGTACTAGGAGGGGATTAAATTCCTTAAGGAAACACTGTGAATTTAGTGGGCTCGAATTGATTTCTATCTCTTTACGTTTTCTGTTTATATATTATTCTGCTTTGTTTTTCCAGAATTAATATACAAATACAGTTTACTAACAGGATCTATATGAAAGGCAATATTTTAACTAATGATGCTCCTCTGATAAATTGTTGATTATATACTTCGTGTGGGTTTGAACTTTGATCATCGACATTGCAATACCGATGAGAACCAAAAAGGATTCTGGAAATTAATTTTGGAGATTTTAAGCTAAACATAACCTAAAGGATGCCACACTTAATTCCTAAAAGTTATGGGCTACTTAGTTTAAACATTAGAGTAATTATAAAAAATTAAGGGCTATAAAGTCAAAATTAAAATTTTAACGGATCTTTTTGCTAACTTTACCTGATACTTGGTACTTGGTAGTATTAAGTTTTCTTCTCGTAAGGGAAAAAAAGGAAAGAAAAGTATAAAAAAATAAAAATAAAAATAAAAAATCAGTCCAATTTAATGACTGATACGAATAAATGTAAAAGATATCTGATTCACAATAGCTTTGATTTTCGATATCAAAGTTTCAACTTTCAAAGTGTTGGATTATACTTAATTCGACTTGATTGTTCGTACAGAAGAAGGCTACACTAATCTTTTTCTCTGACTCTCTCTAGAAATCTTCTCTCAAGAAAACAAAGAAGAAGAACCCTAATTCTTCTCTTAGACAAAATAATTCCCACCCCAACCTTCACTATCCATACAACAAATGCAAAAACAATAAAACCTAGGAAAACAAGAAAATGAAAAAAACACACATCCCCTTAGCAAGAAAGAATCAGAATCGGAATGCATCACAGAAAACAAAATTCATGCACCAAGCTCTCAAAACCTCTTGAGACCACTAATGGACAGCCCCAACCCTAAAGAAGAACAAGACCGAAAGGATACCTTCTTATCCAAGCTACAAGAAAAACAGGAAAATAACAACAATATAAGAGTACAAAAATCAATCCTTGGCTTTGATACTTCGGATGAATCGGAAAATATCTTTGATTCGGACAACTTTATACCCATAACTTCGGAGGATAAGAAAAGAATATACAAAAACTGGGAGAATGCTCTAATAATTAAAATATTCGGAAGAAGAGTTACCTACCAATTCTTACAACAAAAAATACATGCCATATGGAGACCTANGGAACGATGATGGGTTTTCAACCTGGAAGTCGGCAGATACCGAGCAACCAGTCGGTGTGAATGCTTTCAATGGGGGTTCTGGTGCATGTTCATCAGATCTAGCGGGGCTCGCGGCCGAGCTTGGTCTAGAAGGAACACTTTGTGAAGTTTTCGCCATTTCTTAAAGCTTTACGAAGAGATGAAAAGAAAATACAACCAACGCAGAATTTGAGAAAGATAGGAAATGTTGAACCTGGAAGGGTCGTTTATACTTTTTCCATGAGGCGGTGGCACGAATCGCGAAGCCACAGACACGAAGCGACAGATAATTAAGAGAAGCATTAAATGCCTGCAGCAGGCGTGGTCAGAGCACTCGATGGCTTTTTCATCTGGCGTATGGCCATACGTCACGGGCATCACGTCACCGGTCATATCGTTTATTATCATTACTCTCTAATAAACGAGGGGACTATCTGTATTGGGTGATACCCTTTTTTGCTTGAGCCCGACCGGGTTGGGTCCGGTCCGGAGCGAGTCGGGGCCATCGAACCCGACCTGGATGCAAGGTAGAACGACGGCCACGTCTACAACCGAGGTCGAGTCATTTCGAGACCGTTACAGAGCTCGATATGAGTCACCACCGGATGGAGAAACACACAAGGTCGGAAGCCGGACTCGTAACGGATAACCAAGCGTCGCCGGATATCTCGCCCAAACGTGATTTTCTCAACCACTTCAGGCCATTAAGGCGTAATTACAGGGATCCACGATGTAATCAATTTACCTACCTTATTTTTACCCTTAATCAGAATGTATAAAAGGGGATCTCTCTAAATTCTTGTAGGCCATCAAGCACAATTGTTCTAAGCAATATTATATTCTGCGATTATTTACTTTAACAGCGATTGTTGAGTCTTTATCTTTATTTTTCCTCAACCTAAAAACCTTTTGTATCTTTTAGTTCATGGATCCTTAAAACCCCATATAAATTCAATTGTTATCCGGATTCGAGGGTAAACAAATTCAATCCCCATTTTTTTCCTTAAAAATGAATATAGATCTCTTTATTGTATGACTTAGATATCTCGTATTTTCCCGAACCAACTTGGAGAGATCACAAAATCCTACTGTTTTACTTCAATACCATTAAACATCCACTCTCAGCTAGGCGTTCTTCTTGTTATTAAATTTTTTTCTAGTTTGTTCATCGACTTGTATGAGATTAGACTGTTATGACTAGCTTACGTAAGCTGCGCGAATAAAGTTGCACATAAAAAGTTGATAAGGAAAAAATGTTACATATAAGACGTAGAGATATTTAGATGATGTAAGATATTATTAAATCCAACGCCCAAGGTTGACTCAGAGTAAAGTTACCATACGTTATTAAATGTATCTTTGGACAGACTTAGTCTAATGTGTCAGACCTAGGAAAGATGACAAAGAATTTTCAATTGTGTCAATATCATGAAATAGTTTCTTATTCTACTTTGCTAACTTTTTTTTTTCTTTTTAGGTTTCAAAGTCCACAACTTTGAAATGTGTATTGAAAACAAAAGGATCAAATTCACATGTGAATCCCTCGAGTTCCAATTTTCAGCTCTAGTTGTTGAAATTAGATAAGGAAGATAAATAATACTAATTACATGGCAATTTGACTACATGTATGGATTATTGATTTGAGGTTTAGATAAATTCTTTGGCTTTTTCTTCCTTAAGAATTACATACAACCTTTAAGCTGACTTTTCTTTATTAAAAATGCTTGAAACTCTATTTATTTTTCATCAAAATGCTTGAAAATCTATAATCTGACAAAACCTTTAGATTAATTTCATATTTACATGAAACATGACATAGTCTGAGAAATAAAATAAAACAAAAAGATCCATGGCATTCCCATAGTTTACGATTTCCGGATTACCCCCCCCCCCCCCACCCCACACACACACACAAAAAAAATTTGGACAATTTTCAGATTTGTGCATGTCATTCTTACTAGGGAGCATCCTTTAATATATATATATATTCTAAACCCAATAACTCTATTAATTCGGATTAGAGCCAGATAAATCTGATTAGTCCTCCCTCCATTCCTAAATTAGGGCGTACTTTTTAATTTGGCACGAAATTTAAGAACGAAAAGAATTTTTTGGAAACTTGTGGTCTAAAAAACTAAAACAAGTCTTAAATATTTAGGTGACAACAAATCATCTCATTAAGGATAAAATAGAAAATACATAGTTAAATTATTTTTAAATATATGAATATGATTATTTTTTAGAATTGACTAAAAAAAGAGCTTCACATAAGTTGAGACAAAATAAAAATAAAAAGGAATTTACATTACTTCCATTTCCATTGCATACAAACTGAATAAACCAATCAAACAAAATTTCTAGACTGAGTTCATATTTACATTGATAATCAATCAAATCAAAGAGAACAAAAAAATGCATGATCCAAACAACCTTCATTCTTCCCCATCACCTCATGTTTCTTACCAAATTTTTTGTACTTGTCATCCTTGTTTAGGACAAATGGTTAATCTTGTACTTTTAACTTTTATCCAACAACAACGACAATAAATTCAGTGTAATCCGATAAATAAAATTTGGAAAGGTAGTTTGTACACAGATCTTACTCCTACCTTGTGGGGTTAGAGACGTTGTGTTTCCGATAGATCTTTCTATTAACTTTTATCCAATTTCCCAAAAGGGACTCCATATTTTTCTTTTTTTTGGACATCCCTTTTATTTGTTCAATCCATTTTATGAAACCAAAAATGGTGACAAAGGTGGCACTTCAAAAATACCCTTTCCATCTCCACAATCCCAAATTGAAGACCAATTTGAAGGTGTCAAAGGAGTTACCATTTGCTCTCTTTTTACCTCCTTTTTTACCACAACTTCATCTTCATTCACCACTTCTCTTGCCCTTTTCCCACTTGAATTTAAGTTTAAATTCAAATTTACACTTTGCTCAATCACATTATTTTCTTGCTTAAAGTTACTAACTTCAAGTGGAAAATTCAAGATTGCTTTACTCCCTCTTAGCTTAAATGCTGCTCTATCATATGCCATAGCTGCTTCTATTGCTGTTTCAAAAGTTCCTAACCAAACCCGAGTTCCCTTTCGGGTCGGGTCACGAATTTCAGCAGCAAATTTCCCCCATGGCCTTTGCCTAACTCCTCTGTATTTCTTCTGAACAGAGTACTCTGTTTTTACTTCCTCTGTTTTTAACTCCTCTGTTTTTGGCTCCTCTGTTTTTGGTTGCTCTGTTTTCTTGACATTAGGTATTGTAATATTTAAAGAAGGTTTTCTTTCATTAAAACTTGTTTTTTTGGGTGAATTTGAGATTGTTGTAGGGGTTACTAAGTTGGGTTTTGGTTCAAATTCAAAGGAATTAAATTCTTGGTTCAAATTTTGAGCAAAGTTTGTGGGATCAAAAGAGAAAGTTTCCATTTTGAGATCAGAGGTTAAAGAATCAAATGATTCAGAAACAGAGGAGTTTTGAGAATAAAGAGTACTACTTGTTTCTGAAGATGAACAATAATTTTCCATAAAAGCAACATCATCCAAAAGATGCTCCCTTATCAAATCAAGATCCATTTAAATCTTTAAAAAAATTGAAAAAAAAAACTTGTAAAGGTAAAATATAGGGGAAAAGATGGTTTTTTTTGGTTCAAAATATGAAAGAATTAAAGGGAATTTGAGTTGAATTGAGTGGAAAAGAATGAGTGAAGATGGAGGATTATAAAGGGTGGAAATTTATGAGTCAAGTGGAGGTTAAGAGGAGGTTTCTTGGTTGGAGAGAGGAAGCCTCGTGTGGGTTATCCAATTTATCTTTTTAAGTATAAAAGAGGACTACTTGACTTTTTTTATAAAATAAAATAAAATAAAAGTAATGTATGATTAAAGTTATTCATCTTTTGTCAAAAAAGAAGAGAAAAACAAAGGAGATGATGTTGGTTTTATGTCTTTTTTAGTCATTGATGATTGTTGGTTATTGTGTCTTCCACAGGACCTAAGCTTCCACGTTACTTCTTTTTATTTTATTTTTTCATTCTCTTTTTGCCCTTTTCTACTTTGCTTTTTGGTTCTAGGTTTTAATAAGTTTTACTCAATTCGTTTCAATTTGTTTGAATCTTTCGAATAACAAGAAAAAAACTGACTACTTTTTTTATGTGAATTTAAATATAAATTCTTTAAATTTTCTGAAATAAAATTATATATTTTAAAAATTATATCAAAAAGACTATAAGTCACGGTAGTTAATAATTAAAAATATTTAATAAATATTTATAAAAAATATAATTAAAAAAATCTTGTTTGATTCCCCAAATAGTAATAGGTTTATTAACATCAAGAATGAAGAGAATTGATGTAGGAAATGCCTTCCTATTTATTTCTCATTTGATCTTGATAAAAAGATTAAAAAGAAAACACCGAGAGAAATAACTATATATATATATATATATATATATATATATATATATATATATATATATATATATATATATATATATATATATATATGTTTAGTTGTGGAATCCCTCTGTTTTAATTTATATGACACGTTTTGTTTATCGAGAGCCTGTTTAACTAATCTTTAAAACTAAATTTGATTAGTTTGACTCGATATTTTAAATTAAAATTTAGATATTCAAAAAGAATACCAAAAGTACTATAAGTTACGATTCTTCTCATCTCAATATTTAAAATATTAGTCAAACTCCATATAGTAAATCTCGAGAAGTAAATGTGTCACATAAATTGAAACGAATGGAGTAACATTTAGGCAAATTCAATATTGGCAAAACAGGAAGAGATGCCTTAATCCTTAATGACGCATTTTAAAATCGTGCGGATCTTAATCCAAAGAGGATATTGTCACTAATGGATTGGGTTACATGGGTATCAAAGTCATCCGGCGTGCAACTTTGGGCGAGGATGAGACAAACCTTAGTGTTCAACTAAGTTTACGTAAATTTTACCTCTTTGAGTTGATGGTGGCGCAGTATTCAACGAGACGTTGAGTTCCTAAACGGAGTGTACATAATATTTTAGACAAATCTCATATCCGCAAAGTACGAAAAAAAAATGCTAATGCATTTAAACAAGCAAAGTTTAGACCCTAGTGATGATTTAATATCCTGAGGATCTAGGGTCAGAGCGAACCATATTACTAATGGTGTGGATTGTTACAATTTGAGAGATGTTAGTGTTAATGAAGGCTTATGAATATTAAATTACAATTTATTGATCTTTTATTTCCTTGAGTTTAACTTATTATGGAAATGGGGGTAATTAATCATAAAAAATAAAATTAATATCCTGAAAAATAAAATACATAATATTTTACAACAAGTTAATTTGTAAGAATATTTTTCCTAGATTTTGTAGGAGGTGACTTGCTGTTGTAATTAATGAAAAATAATGAGAACGGAGGGAATTACGGCTGGTTGTTTGACCACTGTTTCCAATAATTAGTCCGATATTTCAACGTTTAACAGAGTGTGATTGCGGTTAAGTTTTATAAGTCAAAAATATAATCTACTTGCTTTGGTTGATGTTTAAAGGAAGAGACCGTTTTGAATTGAATGACTTTGATATTTACAGCTATCACTACTTTAGATACTGAAACTTTAACAGATTAAGATAAGTCCTAATTTTAAGATAACTCTTAAAATATTAGGAGTCTATTAGGGTTACTTGGTGGCTACTTTACCCAAACTTTAATTTATACCTATAAATAAGGTTATATGTATCATTTAAAGACGATCTCAGCAATTTCATAATCTCTCGAAATATGCACAAAGAGATCAAATATCTCCGAAATTCCATGAAACTCTTGGAATATTCATTAAGAGATCAAAGACGCATCAAATATGTCTTGCTTAAAGTCCTACGTTCGAGAAATACGCCGCTAAGGCCCTCGAATCACGAAGAATAAATCGGAGGGAAGAATCAAGGGATAAACAGAGTTGTAACCTACAATGTTTATCAATAAAATCCTTTTATCTTTATAGTTGTTTGTGATTGCAATTTTATTTTTCTCTCCATAAATTTGTTGCAAACACTACTAACACAAGTTGATATTTTGAAGGAATGTACTCGCTCTGTTCACTTTTACTTGTCCACTTTGGACTTTGCACGTCCCTTAACTAACAATAAATAAAGTGCATATTTTACCATGTTACTCATATTAATTGGTGTACAGTCTCAATAAATTAAAAAATAATTTGAAATGAGTAATTAATACTAAGAGCAAAATAGAAAAAATAAATTATTTTTCTTTTGATGTGCGAAAAGTGACAAGTAAAAATAAAAATTTATTTCTAGAATACTGGACAGTAAAAGTAAACGGAAGGATTATATAAAACAAAGTAACGAATAAAGAATTAACCAAAATAGTCGGACACCTTATTGCTTAAATTAAAAATAATCGATGAATATATGATATAGTGTATGTCTAATTCATGACTAATATGATGAAGTATAAACTTCCATATAACTAAAGTATCACATGAAATAACACTGAGCATTGAAAGAAAAAGAGGATGTTTTTCTCTGACCTCTCTCTAGAAATCTTCTCTCAAGAAAACAAAGAAGAAGAACCCTAATTCTTCTCTTAGACAAAATAATTCCCACCCCAACTTTCACTATCCATACAACAAACGCAAAAACAACAAACCTAGGAAAACAAGAAAATGAAAAAAATACACATCCCTTTAGCAAGAAAGAAGCAGAATCGGAATGCATCACAGAAAACAAAATTCATACACCAAGCTCTCAAAACCTCTTGAGACCACTAATGGACAGCCCCAACCCTAAAGAAGAACAAGACCAAGAGGATACCTTCTTATCCAAGCTACAAGAAAAACAGGAAAATAACAACAATATAAGAGTACAAAAAACAATCCTTGGCTTTGATACTTCGGATGAATCGGAAAATATCTTTGATTCGGACAACTTTATACCCATAACTTCGGAGGATAAGAAAAGAATATACAAAAACTGGGAGAATGCTCTAATAATTAAAATATTCGGAAGAAGAGTTACCTACCAATTCTTACAACAAAAAATACATGCCATATGGAGACCTACGGAGCACCTATCTTTGATCGACCTTGGATACGATTACTACCTTATCAAGTTCTATAAACAGGGAAATTATGACAAAGCTTTACACGAGGGACCTTGGTTCATCGGCAATCAATTCCTTACCATTAGGAAATGGGAGCCTAGATTCATAGCCTCAACAGCATCACTGACCTTCTCAGCTGTCTGGGCTAGATTACCTGAGCTCCCCACGAAATTCTACGACTATGAGATCCTCCACAAAATAGGAAACAAACTGGGGAAACTTCTAAGGATAGATGCGTGCACTACTTCAACCACTAGAGGCAAATATGCAAGGTTATGTATTCAAACACCCATAGAAAAACCTCTTAAAACACACATCATAATAGGAAACCACTATCAAAAAATAGCCTATGAGGGTTTCAATCTTTTGTGCGAGTCATGTGGACGACTAGGCCATAACACTATCAATTGCCCTAACATTGCATCTACTTCTAAGCCAAAAAATCCTACTAACAACGTCATGAACATGGAGGTTGATACCCTAACCAAAGAAGTAGATCATTGGACAATAGTAACTCACAAAAAAAATACAAACAAACGCACCCTTCCAGTTACTACCCAAACCAACGCTACTGCCTTCCTGTTACTACCCAAACCAGTGTTACCACCCTTCCTGTTACTGCCCTTTCCGTTACTGCCAAAACACACGATACTACCCAAAAAAACCTTGACCCTACGTCTACCAACCAAAACAACAATACTGCCAAAACAACTCAAAGCCAACTAGTTATTGCCCTTCCCGTTACTGCCCTTCCACACGATACTACACAAAAAAATATTGACCCCACGTTTACTAACCAAAACAACAATACTGCCAAAACAACTCAAAGCCAACTAGGCAAAACTTCTTACATAAAAGAGGTAATACCTAAAGGACTTTTTTCAAACGGACAAACACAACAATAGAAGTCCAATGCTGATTCTCAGTTAAATCTAATGGTCCAAGAAAAGAACCCTAATGCAAACCCTACCCAAACAAACACTAAAATAGTACACCCTACTAGCATTGACCAAGAAAACAAAGACAACCCTAGTAACCTAAACACCCAAACGGCAACCCTCCCCCTAGGAACATTGGAAACCCAAACCCCTCTACCTTTATCAAATATCTCAACATCACATTTAATGCGACCTTAACACCCACAGTACTTGTACCAAGTCAGGAAGTAAAAGACATGCCAAAAACCAGCGGACAACTTGCTATAAACCACGAGTTAATACCTAAACCTAGAAGTCCCTCCCAAATCCCATCTGTAGAAGCCAATCAAATGGACATAGACCAAAGTCAAGGTCTTGAAATAACATCAACAGGCCAAAACAGTGATTATAACCCCCAAAAAACTAGACCTCTTACCTACAAAAAAGATGAACTTACCCCAAATGATAACCTGCCACAACTCACCCCAACCAAAGCAATTGAGAAACTTCTTTCAATGCAAAAAAATGCAACGGACGTATTCATTACCCCTATGTATAACAAGTTTAACTACTTATCTCCTAATACTACAAAGACTTCAACAACTAAAACCTCATTATCCTCTCTGCCTTTAACCAAAGAAACACACTATGGCAAGATTCCATCATACCAACTACCAACGAAG